TCCGAGTGGACAGATGATGAGGAGGAATTGACAATGTCGTTCTGAATGCTGAGAGTACCGTTGCTGCTCGAGCTGACAGTGCTATGACTGTTCCTGTTGATTTCCTTGTCGGTTCCCCTGGCCACTAGCTCTCTGTACATGATCTCGAGCTCTTCATTGTTACTCTGGGCCAATACTTGCCAGACTACTCCACGGATAGCGTTAGGAATACCACTGGCAATGGCTTTGTTCAGTTCCTCGGCGCTGGTCCGCTGAACAACCGCCGGGCCTTCGTAAACAACGGACTGCCAGAGATCCCAGTCTACCTGGGAGTCTGACATGTCCGAGGGTCCAGCCGATACACCAGATACTGTTCCTGGTGCCAGCGCCGGGTTCGGGGTCGTTGGGAGAGGCGATTTGGGGGCTTGATCAGCTCCAAGCTCCTTGTCGGTTCCATTCTGGGCGGGAGGTGTGATTAAACCCAATCCCTTGGGGGGCGGCACAGGTTTATCGTCGTCGGATGGCAGCGTGACGCCGGCCTCTTCCCGTAGTCGAACCATTTTGAAGCGGTCCTTCAGACTGTGTCGCGGGATGCCGCCCTCTTTCTCTTCGTCTAACCTGCCCAGCGACATCTCTGGGTTACTTGTTAACGTTGCGATGGAGCTGGCTGTGTTTCGACGAGGAGAGGCCTGTGGAGGCGGTGAGGTCTCCTTCTCCTTGCTTGTGCTGTTTCGAGACAGCCAGGAGAAGGGGCTGGTGAGCTTCCTGGTCGGGGGACCAGGGGGTGGTGGTAGGGCGGCAGAGGAAGCGGCTTGCGGTGGGGGTGCAGCTGGGACTACGGGAGATTTGGCAGGCGATGGCTCGGCTGGCGGCGACCATGGCATGGATGGGAGGGCGCCGGTGATGCTGCTAATGGATATTTTCTTGGGCGGCAGTGGCTTCTCTTCGACCGGGCTAATGGCTTTCGTTTCTTGGGTTTAAAATTAGCATTACTGTCAGACGTCAATTAATTCATGCAGCCAAACAACAAACCTGGTTCCTCATGTGGGGCAGGGTGGTCGTCGTCGAGCTTGACGTCGTCCAGATTTGAGGTATTGGAAAGTCGATGGGATACGGGGGAAGCTTTGCGCTTGATATCCACGTCCTCATGGTCGCTCACAAAGTCCTCGTCGACAAAGTGATCGTCTGGTGTTGGTGAAGGCGGAGCTGCTGGTGCTTCCACCCTGTCCTCTTCAGTGTGCTCCTCCTTTTTCGGGGATTCAGGATCCGTTTCCTCGGCGGGTGGTGGTTTGGAGACGGAGGGCGTTCTCTGAGTAAGAGAACGCACCTCAGCTACCTCGGCGACATCGACAACGGCATCTTCGAAGGCATCCTGCTGCTTATTCGGTCATGTCAGCGAGTGGTTCTTCTCCTGTTTGCACTGCGGTTGCGGCATGTGGTCGAGCTTGGAAGGCCCAAGCAGGTATGTGTGCATCAAGGGAGGATGAGGGGAGCGTTACATTCTCCTTATCAGAGTCGGAGTCGGAGTCAGTCGAGAGTCTCTTCTCCTTGGTCTCTTTGGTCTCCTTGGTGACTTCAGGAGAAACGGTCGCGACAGGCTCGTCTGGCTGGGACATGGCGAAATGAAGAATCGTAGGTCAACTTGCGCTGACCTATGTGGGTGTGTGCGGTATGGTGATATAGCTTGCGTCCAGGTCGAGGTCGGACTGTTTAGAGTACCTAGTTGGTGTCCATGGAGATGGGGGGGGACTGCAGCACTAGGCAAATCTGTAGACTGTGTCGTCTGTGCTGCTGAAGAACACCTTGTGATACGGGTGCTGCAGTCTGGGTCTCGTAAGGTATGATGCAGGGTTGGTTGCTGGGAACTGTTTTCGTCGTTGTGTGTGTTGTTGTTCGTCTCTGAGCTTGTCAGGACGGAAGACGGGAAATCGAGAAGGCGAGTAGGTCAAGGTCGAGGGTCGAGGATTGACAGTCGAGGATCGGTTGTGGCGCGCAAGTTGTGCCTCTCTCTCTCTCCCTTTTTTTTCTTTCCTATTTCCTGGCTGGGGGGGCACCGGGCATGGGGGGATGGGATGGGGAATTGAATTGAATGAATGAAGCTGCCCGAGCCTCACCGCAGATGGGGGGGACCCCTTTCAGATGTATCTTTTCTCTGATTCAATGTGACACAGTACTTAAGCTAATCCACCTACCTGAATGGGACCTGGAAGTAGACCCCCGAACGGTGGCTGAGAATACTCGAGTCCCGTCCGTATTCGCCCAAATAATCGACCCTCAGCACTCCTCGAGGTCCACCACAGACCAACGTTCAATTCTAGCGTACGGAGTCCAGTCAACTTTTGGGGGCCAGGGGGAGGCAAAAGGTGAGGGACCGGGCCAACCACTGGTAGCTTAGCGCGCCGCTGCGGAACGGGATCGCTCTCTGTTTCGGGGGGGCTGCACGAGGGGGGCGTCTTGCAAAGTTGCAAGTCTGGATGCCGTGAGTTCCTGAGTTCCTCACCCGGAGCGCAGGACAGTGGACTTGCCAGCCCCAAATGCCATCAATGACAGGGGGTTCTCCTCTGAAAATGCCAGCCAAAAGGAAATTGCTGGGATCGACACGGCAGGGAAGCTGATGTTTCTTAATGATTGCCCACCACCTCCCACACCTTTTCCAGCCTCTTCAACGCCTTTTGCTACCTCTGTCACTCTCGCTAAGTCACTCTTATCAGGTGCGTGTCCAGAAAGACATGTCAATATGCGATAATAATATCAGATACGACGGCACTGTCCCAAAGCTTTCTATCTTGGGACGAGGAGTCTCCAATAGCATCTCGTTATCCGTTTTGGGAGCTTCAATCTCGTCAAAACGAGAGCTTGAATTGCCCTTTCTGAGTCATCCCGATCCTCGTCCGATCTTTGGAAGTTTGGGGCATCCTTTACCTCATCATCTCATGTGAGCAATAGCTAAGAATGATATGAACTTACTGTTCAGCCGTCGCTACACAGTATTATTTGTTTATCTGCCATCTTGGCTCTTTGTTTTGTGGATGTGTGCGCGTCTTCCGAGACGACCTTGTCTTTAAAGAGTTTCGTTCAGTCCAACAGCCGCTGCCCCTGCAGCACAAGTTTCTTGGATGGCGTGGAAAGTTGGACTGGCTTGATGGTTGGCCATCCGAGGCAAAGCATTTGTGTGAGGTGGTTACTTATTCAGTACTTGCTCTTTACCACTGTTTGGCTGTGTACACTGAGTAGACTCTTGGTAGCGCCAGCCTTTCCCCGTTGGAACGTTATGATCTGCGCATCTCTCGCGCCGTTGCAATCGGGGGTAGATCTTTTCAACCCCTGGTGCCCTTCCCCCTTTTTCCAACTCTAAGAAGGCCGGCCGCCCGCCCGCAGACCCGGCGTTACGCCGCCTGTTTGTTGGTCGGGTTGCACCCGGGTTCGGGGGACAACGGCACCGAGGCCGGTTTCCTCACTCATCGTCGGGGTTCAGTAGTCACTATGCTTCTGATGCCTTCAGGTCGGGTTCGGTCAATTTGATCCGAATGTTAACATTGGCAGCTAGGTATTCATACTGGGTCTTCCTGGGTCTCAAATGGCTCGTCTGGCATGCCTGGCACGCTTGGATCCTATTTTTACCAACCTCGGACCAAGCACCGGTTGGTGTCTTGGTGTGGATGAACTGGAATGCAACCCAGGCCTTTTATATCGGCTGCCCCAAGTCTTCTGTGCAAGCTGAGCCACAAGCATAAATGTCGCAGGTCGCGGGACTCGTCGTAATGAGAACCTGATGAAAACAGATGGGCAGGACTCATCACATTTGCGACTTGACGTTTGATATTTTCGCAGTGCTCTACTTTCGATGTCGATTCAAACACTGTCCATTCATCCCTCACTTGCCTTAAAAAGACACCGCTTAATGTCACTTCTGATATATCGTGCTCGAGAGGGGGAGATCGTTGTTTTGCCCGGAGAGTTCAATCTGAAGAGCCAGATAGATACTCTGGTTTACATTTTCTCAAGCCCTCTATTGGAAAATGAGATTTGAGGCCCAGCGTAAATCAACATCTGCTCGGTCAATTGAGGCTTTAAAGCCCCAATACCTTACATTGACACGTGCATTCTCGGCAGACCAGCCACGTGGAGGAGCGACAGCCTCTGGAAATCAGCATGCCATGTGTTGGCAGTGACTGAGTTGTTTGACGTGAGCTAGAAGTGCCTTCCGGCCATCACAGGTCTATTACGAGAGGAGAGCAGTTGTTAGAGTTCTGCGTGAGAAATCTGTCGAGGAAGGCATTACTTCCCAAAAGGCGATGGAGAAATTTTCTTTCAATCTACCGCTGGCCAGACCCTCCGACTTTTGCGCATCATCAACACTGCACACGTTTATTGACATTGTGAAGTGGGGATAATAGCCTAGTAAGGAGATCCAGTCTTTAGAAGCCCCGTTGCTAAGGTATCAAGAGTCCACTTGTTTGACGCTGGATGCTGTCATAAATCTTCAGTACGTAAAGTGCCATCATGTAAGGAGATGAAATATTTCCTTTGCCAAATGTACATTCGCGAAGGAACCTTATACAACCTTCGTGTACCAGCATGAGTAAGATTGGTGATTGGGCAAAATGAAATGTACATTATCTTGCGGATTGTAACTCATTCATGATCTGATTGTGTTGACTTTGTGGTAGGCATCAGAACAGCATTACGATTGTGTTGGCCTGCCTGCCTTGCCATGCCTTACCTTAGGTAATGGAAGGTAAAGGCAGAAACTGGTTCCAGAAGCGAGTGGAATATTAAGATTTATTAGGTACCTACGGAGTACTGTATGGTCACATCTGCCCGGTCGCCTTGCGGCGCGGTACGTACCTTTGACAAAGATGCTGTTGATGCCGCCTCCACACTACCGCCTGCGTCCCGCCAACAAAATCTAAGTTGAACCGTGCACTCTCCTCCCCGCTATCCTCCCGTCATAGGTAAGGTAGGAACGAAGATAGACAAACAACCGCGGTCACTGTGTCTACAGATCATTAGCACTGCTCATGATGTGGATGAACACGGGTAAAAGACAGTGCGAAGCCTGGGGAGGTGCCCAGCCCAGCAACTGCCCGCCTGCTCCTCCCACCTTTGGTTGTCTGACCGCTCGCAAGGCGGCAGACCACCACCCGTACATGACCTCCAACCAAACAGTGAGTGAGCCGTGCCTTACGCCTAGCAAGCTGGCAAAGCTACCTCTACCTACCTTGCTATTACGCAAAGGGCCCACTGTAACCGCACCTACCTTTCCTTGCCGATTTGACATCTGCAACTTCTTTTTCCACCTCACTCTCCAACATCCCATCCCGCCTTCCACCTTACCTTCAACACTAGGCACTCGTTGCGATCGACGGCTTGATCTCACCGCCTGCTACTCGCGAGGATTTTACGATCTTGAGTCTGAGCGACACGCACTTTTAACAGGACGACCCGAACATACATTGCTTGGCAAAGCTATTGTCACGGAAGCCCGTGAGGACGACCTGCACCCGGCCTCGCACTTCTGTGCCTTTCTACCCCAAGCTTTCTCGTCATCGCCTGGTCGATTTCTTTTCACGTTTTGACCACACACACCAGACCGTCGACCTCTTCCTCTACACGACTGTATAATACCGTAAAGGGATACCCTCTTTTGCGACGCGTCTGTTCCGTTCGCGCAAACGTCTACGAGATACCCGACTGCGCTATCTAGACCTTCAAACTCCGACGCGGGCTAGCTAGCAAGGCTGCACATATGAACCTGCGGCCCTGCCGCGCTCGCCCACGATGGGGAAGATAACGAAGCAGATGCAGCCCAAGCATGCCGAGACTTTGGTAAGCCATCTCTCTGCCTGCTCTTCTCTTCTCTTCTCCTTCTTGTTGTACAAATCAGGCCAGTGTTACTAACCATTTTCCTAGTCTCCATGGCTCAAGGACTTTGTCACATCGGCATGCTCCACACCCTTGCCTCTCCTTCCAAACCACCTCCACAAGTTCCCGACAAGATGGCCTTACCCGAGAGGTGATTTATACCACTGGATCCCTCTTCTCAACCGATTCGACGACATCTTGGACTGCTTCTGCACCACCTACAACCTGGAACAGGGCCCCCAAAACCGCGATTTTGGCCGCGATCTGCTCCTCAACCAAGGCGCTAAGACTGAACAATATGGCGACCAGACCTGGGACAATGATGGTCTTGTCAAGTTGGGCTACAATGCAGATGGAGATAGGCAGCTGATCGAGGCTGTCCTCAAGTTCACCCGTATACTCCTGCAGCACTGCGGCAACCGAAGCATCTACTCTAGTAGCATGGTCCTGAACAAGCTGCTCAACACTACAGTTCTGTCGCTTCTTCTTGCAACTCTGCAGGTCAGCGCCGAGTTGGCCCAGCGCTACCAAGCTTCTGTCAAGAGAATAGGAAGCGCCTCCCGCACAGTGAGCACTGCTCTGCTGAGCAATCACTACCAGATCGACCTCGACCGCGTGAACAGCGTCGCTCTGCCCTTCGCCAAGACTCCGATCGTCAGTCTTTCAGACTCGCTGGCTACTGCTACGCCCACGTCGAGTGCCAAGGGCAAGGAAAAGCCTCAGGCCCCGAGCCATAAAAACGCCGCAGCCATGTTTGCCAACGACTTGGGGTCTATTCTTACACCCGACAATGGGCGCTGGAATGGATGGGGAGATATCAAGATCACCTATACCGTGGCGTCGATCGCAAAGGACCACCCCGTCTCAACGGCTCATGATCGCATTGGTTCCAACATGCCCTCTACACCGACCCCTCTGAGGCGCAGCACGACAGCCGGCTCTCAGCATAACACTCCAAGATCCGCTCGTCAGGCCGGCGTTGACGAGGCTTCGCCATTAAGTACACGAAGCCCCATCGTCGCCAATGACCATACCAAGTCGAGTCAGCGAATCTTCGATTTGCCGCAATCAGTCGTTGCCTCCACGCCCATCTACGAGCTCCTTGCACGATGTCCTGCGGATATGCCCGCCTCAGCCAAATATGAGATTCTCAACCGTCTGAGAGTAGCCAAGGCTCTTCTTGGGGGTGCGGAGTCTCGACAGGAAGCGCTTGCCGTCCGTCTACTCGCCATCACAAACCTGGCCTTCATCCATCCGGAGACGACCTTCGTCGAGAAGGTTCTGCGTCATGACAACGACGAAACACGACGCTATCAGTTGGCTTATCAACTGGCGGAACTAATTCACCCGCCGGCCGATGGTTCCATTCACGTACCGCTGTGGCTTCAGTCAATTGTCTTGGGCCTCCTTGAGGTCATCTCAAACTATGCTGCAAGATACCAAGATGTTTTGTCGGCCCTGAATGCGAATGTCAACCACGGAATTCTCTTATACGTCATCCGAAAGGCTGTCGCAGGGATGAAGACCAGTGAACCCGACCGCGGTATTCATACCACGGAAGTCGACGAGTGGCGTACCAGTCTTTTCTCTTTGACGACTCACCTGGCCATGTCTACTAGAATCGGAGCTGAGATGGTGACGGCCGGACTGATGGATATTCTGGTGGAGATTCTTAAAATCAGGTCGGATGTCGCCCAGCGCAATCAGTCCATGATTCTGGCTTTCCTCGACGGACTGATTTGGACGTATCAGAATGCGTTCCAATCGTTCTTCAGCGGATCCGGTCTTGATGCCATCTCCGAACTCCTTGTCATAACGGTGGCCGAAGCAAAGCAACTTGTGCAAGCTGGAGAGGGCAACACACCTGAACACTATTGCCAGGTTGTTGACTATGAGATACCCTACAATCAACAGCAGACCCTGAAATGGGTTCTCAAGTTTGTCCATCACATGATGACGAACTCTTACACCTATGGCGGAAACACTGATCGACTTCTCCGTAACCTTGTTGACAAATCGGAGCTGTTGGCCAGCTTGCGAGACATCATGCAGAATACTAAGCGCTATGGATCCGTCTTGTGGACGACTACTGTCACGGTGCTCAGCGACTTTATCAACAATGACCCTACAAGCTTCGCTGCCATTTCTGAATCTGGAATTATCGTCGCTTATTTGGAAGCCATCACTGGCCATCCAGTTACCTCTCAGCCCACCATCGCACCTTCGCAGGACGCTGAGGAGCAAACGGCAGACACCGCTGATCCTGGTGACAACAATGGTGAGAACAACACCGATCGAGACAATAGAGACCGCGACGAGGATGACGAAGGCAGCCCTGAATCCTCTAATGCTTCCATTCAAATCGACGCTGATACTCGGCCTCATCCGCCTCCTGAGGAAGAAATTGCCCAATCACATGAGCGTCGCCCTCTGGCCCAGGGCATCTTGCCAACATCCGACGCCATCAATGTTGTCCCACAAGTTCTCAACTCCATTTGCTTGAATAATGCAGGAATGAAGATGGTGGCCTCCTCTCGCGCTCTTGAGTCGTTTCTCGAAATCTTCGAGAGCCCTGCCCACGTCAATACCATGGAAACCGACCCTCATCTCGCTAGCAATGTGGGCGCCAGCTTTGACGAACTCGCCCGGCACCACCCTAACTTGAGGCGCCCGATCTCAAATGCTGTGATCGACATGGTTGCTAGGGTCAGATCCTTCGGTATTTACAAGGCCAAGACTGCTGGCTGGGGCGCGAAACTGTACATCAGCGACGGTTCACAGAACCCTCCTTCAGCGGATGAGAAGTACAAGGACCTGGTACTGCACCCTACCACTGAATTCGGTACAGAAGGCAAAGGAAAGGGGAGGGGCGACCATCTTGACATCGAAATGTCAGATGCTACGGAAATTACGGCGCAGAAGGGGGCTCTGGGTTCCGATGAGCCGTCCACGTCTGCGACAGCTTACAACGACATAACGCCCTACGTCTATGCCTTGTCAAGCTTCCTCTCAGCTTACCTCAACAACAATACGCTCAAGGCTTACTTCATTACCCATGGAGGGCTTGAGCTACTGCTAGACGTCGCAGAACTGCCCAGTTTGCCGCATGACTTTTGTGACTCCCACGCAGCCCGAACCCTGCACCTGGTCATTTCTCAGCTTGTCGAACAGTCTCCGGTTCTCGGCTTGCCCTCCCTACTCAGGCGCGCACAGGCTTCGGTCGATACACTCAAACCTTTGGCCGAGTACAAGAATGACTCTCCCTACTTTCACCCTTTCCTCGGCCTCGACGGCAGAATGACCCTCGATGAAGTACGCAGCCTTGACCCGTCGGTGCAAGAACGCATTTTCAATGGCAACAAAATGGTCAAGGCACTACTTACTGCGCAGTCGCTGATCAAGACGCTCTATGAATGTTTCACCTCTTCACCACGCTCCAACTCAGTTCAGCTGTATCCCATCAACGTCTTTGACTACTATCTCGAATTAGTCAAATCACTGGGGCCGCTTCTGAAGGCTGTGCTGGCAGAAGAGGGTGCTGGGCATAACGTGCTTCCTCAACACTGGTGGGCTAAGCGGCCAGCTCCTGGGAGTGACGTTATGGTTTCCATCACCGGGGCCGCTGGAGTTCAGAGTGTTGGCGAGGGCGAAGGCGAGACCGAGGCGGCATCAGCCCCGGCCGAGCCGTCGGATTCTGCGCCTAGTGCTGCTGTGCCTGCTACAGCTCCTGGCACTCAGCTCAAGACACCAACAAAACAAGAACAAGCGACGTTCCGATACAAAAACTACGAGACCCTTCGCATCCTACTCCACTCAATGGTTCCGTCGACCTTTCCCTTCTTCCAGCAACTTGGCAAAGCTCTCTTCCCAAGACGTGAACGCGATGCTTATTCACGTCCAAAGCACATTGATATTGCCAGAGAATTGTCAGGGACGATCCTGGCGCAGCTGGCTCCTTCTGTTGACCCTGCTGAGCCTACAGGCAAGGAGTACCACTACTGGATCATCATGCTTCACACATTGACAGAGATGTTGATGGACAATACTCGAGCATCAGGGGAACGTTCATCGGTCCAGGTCGTCATCCCGGTGCTTGTTGCTTTCCTTGATCAGGGTGGTTTCCAGGTTCTCACGACCATGGTGCGTCGGTTTTCGGCCGAGATCTGCAAAGACGCTGGAGACTCAGACGTAGGGGCCACTGCTAGCGCTCGTGTTGCCTCGTTCGGCCTCGGAAAGATCTTCGAGTTCTTTGCTGCTCTTGTCAACGGTAAGAACATTTCCGACTCGACCGCACAGTTTGGCCTCCTGCCTCGTTCAGCCGAGAGACGCCCAGACACGCCAATATCTCATCAAATTGTTGTTGAAGTGAGAATGGCTGTTCTCCCGGTCATCCGTGAGATTTGGGAGTCAACACTGATCGAGAAGTTGCGACCGGAGGCAGTAGCAAAGGTGATTGAGATCCTCAAGATCATATCTGCGGGTGACCAAGAACCATCTCGGAACACCCCAGCTGTCGAGCTGTTCAAGAAATCGACAGTCTTGTTCAACTGGCAGGCCCATACCCCTCTGAT